CAGAACCTTATTTTTCCAACAAGCCTTGGGGACGTTGTGAGCTGCTCCCTCCAGTAATTTAGAGATCAATCTGCTGTTGTTTTGTTATTTATGATTTAGATTTTGTGCTTTTTAAGTAAATAGGTACTTAAGTCACTCAGGGTCAGTTTCAGTTGGAGTGACATTATAAGTCTTGCAAATCAATAAATACATGTCAGGTAAAATTAAATCAGGTGGCCCCTTAAGTTTGCAGATTTATTTATTTAAACTGAATGTGGAATACCTTCCAGTCAACCTAGGAGGTAGTCAGTTTACTAGATCAGTCTGTGTTTGTAGTTGATAAAGCTCCATGTCTGAGGCACGAGGGTCTTTCATATCGTTTTAATTTCCCCAGTTTCTGGCACTGGCTCATTCCAGGTTGAATAGCATTGTAATAGGTTTAAGAAAATCCACAAAAGATCAAACTTACCTTTAATTTTAGTAAAGTCTGCTAAAAGAGACTTCTCCAACCTGCCATTCTCTGGTCTCAGAATTCCCAGCCTGTAGTACTGCACTGATAGCTGTTCATGAATTTGTTGTATGTTGCCCAGAGACCCTTGTTTTGTGAGATGGGTGGCTATATAAATTAGACAAACAAACAAATAAAAAATAACACTGTGCTTTAATTAAAGCCAGAATGAAAGTGTGGGGGTTCTTTTAAACCTTCTTAAAGAATAAATGCCAGAAATGTGCATGGGGGAGGTGACTAAAAGAGGAAAATATATTGGGGCAAGGGGAATATCTAAATTGCTCAGGGCTGTTTACTCCATGGTGTAACCAGAGCTAATGACATTAAGACTCTTTGCTGCTTGGTGCAGGGTAACAAGCATTCCCAGATCTTATTCGTAACTCACTGTTAACAAACTTCAGACTGATTATTAAGACCAGCTCATCTATCTTAACAAGATCTGACGCTTTTATCTGTCTTCCGACATGTAATTTTGCAGCTGCAGAAAGTATCTGGTTGTTGGCTCATCTCTCTGGAGAACAGGCAGATGTGGTTCTTTTGGATCAAATCATTCCTTCCACTGTTTTGTTCTCCGGAATGAGAGGAACACACATCCGAATGGGGAAGATCCCAGAAAAAAGAAATCTTCCAATACAAAAGCTGTTCTCAGCCTAGGAACTTTCTGGGAATTTTGGATGCAGAATGCAGAAGCTACAGTAGACTGCATTGGTGTGGTTGATTAGCCAGGAATAGCACAACATTTTGCAGCTAGCAGGCTGTACTTCTTCAAAAACTATTTTTTTCCCAGGGCTTAATGCTGCAGGGGTATACAGTGATGCTGCCAGAGGGGTGGGGACAGAATTTTCTGCCCCTTTTCGTACTGGGGAGGGCTTGCTTGATTTTATGTTAAGAAGTGTTTGAAGTGTTTTGAGGCTGACTTCACCTATTTTATTCATTTCTGGCTAAAACATTTAGAAAATAGTGCTGCCATGATTCAGTAGTTTGCTATTGAATTTGGACAGCATACATTTCGGGAGCTTGGGTGCTGTGGATTGCCCACCCCTGAACTATATTATGCAGCCCTTAATAGAAAGGTTGTGTACAAAAATCCTATTCAAATGATCAGTTTGATTCAGATTTGCAGTCCAATTAGATTTTATTTTTATTCAATAAGTCTGTCTGATTTGACTCCCAAACCAAATGGTTGAATCAAGTCAGTTCAGTTTGGACTTCCAAGCTGATCTAAAAAGCCCCCATTTCTGGGAACATCTAAGAATAATCCAAACAGTGAGATCATTTGGTGGCAAGTCAAGTCTACTTGCCAATTTGATTTTGAAATCTGATTTAATTCAGATGTTTGATCAAATAATTTTTGAAATAGAGTTCTGAATCAAATATTCACATGTCCTGAGAGTCTTGGTGAAAGGGTGGGCAGCTGTCATCTATCTTATGTTTTTTTATTTATTTATTTATTTATTTATTTATTCATTTATTTATTTATTTATTCATTCATTCATTCATTCATTCGTTCACTCATTCATTCATTCATTCATTCAGTTGGTATAGCCAGTCTCACATAAGTGACTCTGAGTGGCTCACAACCATTAAAACATCAACAAAACAGCACAGTACAAATAAGAAACAAAGCAAATATATAAAACCACATTAAAGTCATATTAAAAACCATCAGAACAAATTCAGCAGACGAGTTACAAATATTCTCAGCATTCAGCATAACCATTGAACAGGCTCTAAACCATGTTGAGATATATCTCTTTATGAATCAACTTAGGTTAGGCAAGGGGATGTTTTCTGTGATGAACTGTACTAGAATTCAGTTGGTGAGTACTGTGCTACTAGTTACTCCTTGATATTGATTACTTGAATTGATTATTTGATTAATGATTACTTGAGATTTAAAATGGTTTAAGTAAGACTGTGTGAGATGGCAACAATTTAAATTGTTGAAATAGATAAAAATAAATACTTGTTTTCTCTTTGACTTTGGACATTATTGTTTTATTTGTATGATTTTGTCTTTTGAGCACCAAAATTATATCAGGGTTTTAAATATCTCACAAATGTTATTCCGTTTCAAGAACTTTCAGCATCTGATTGTAAGCTCAAGTGAAATGTTAGGAGAAAAAGAAATATGGAAACTTGGTATGCAAAAGCAGCTTTGTAGCTTTGATCAAGTTCATTACAAGTATGAGCTGTATCTGTTCCAGGTTTTGTAGAATATGATATGGGATTTGTTAATATAAATTCTGTGGAATTAAATAATGGATTGCTTTGTTCTAACAGAGTTGAAACAAAATGTTGCGACAAATCCAGCTGTTGTTTTCTCTTGTGAATTGATTTATGTTATCAGAATATATATTTTTTTCAATTTGATCTTAGCTGTATGCATCGTATGAAAAAAAAAAGTTCCTTTGGAAGAAGATGATTTAGAAATGGGATTTCCAGTGGACTCTAAAGGCAAACTGAACTAAAAAAATGAGATGGGAAGATTAAATATTTAAAGCCTTCATCCATAATGGGTTCAAGACAGACTAACTAGATTTAGAGAACAGTCCTACGATGCTTGGGGTATTAATATTGTTTCCTTTCCAAGATTAGACAGAGACTTCCAATCTCAAATTCTTACCCTTGGAAAATCCTCAGCAGCCAGCAATAAAAGTTTGAGTGTCCCCCATATTCATGCTCTTACATTTCATGCAATTGGAGAGATATTTCTCCTTCCCTTCTAAATATATAGATAAAAATATTTAGAGCCATTATACAATCCAGTGAATAATGCAGTCCTATACATGGCTTCTCAGAAGGATGTTCCATTGAGTTTCTAGCATGGGGGATCACAATTGCAATTCAAATAGATGAGTGCCTGTTGATTCAGCAATTGTTTAGAAATTGACATCCATCCATCCAAGGTGACAACATATTGGAACATTTTAGCTCCACTCATGTACTGTTCTCATGCTTCCCTGCTTTAGGAGTTGCCATATTTTTTAGGGTTACAGTTCTTGACGGGAACTAGGAAGTTTGCTTTACTGTATCATTCACTTCTGGATCCAAAGTTGCCCTGCAGGGCCAAGCAATATATATATAAGAATGCCAGATGAAAACTCCATTGTCTGCAGACACAGCCAAGTGTTACAAACTCATCTACCTTTATTCTAAAGGTTGCACTATTGCAAATGGGATCCCCGGTGGGGTAATTAAATTGATTTTTTAGTATCTGTGGTAATGAACCGAGGTTTGAAAATGCAGATGCATTGATTAAAAATGCAGATGCATCAAGAGGAAAAACACATATATTGACAAGTTTCTTATATCTAATGGTTGCTCATTTGTGCCTCTTTGGACCTCTGATCCCTACAGAAATGAGTGGGAAAATTGCCATTAATGTGTTTGGAACAATGATTACCTACATCTTCCTACAGAATTCATTTGAGCCTCATTCTGATTTCTGACATTTATTAATGCCAGTTTTTCCTCCTTTTCAGCGCAGCCTGCACGAACAAAATTATGAAAAATGAAATCTTACTGCTTTTCCTTGCCTCAGAATATCTTCAGTGTATAGCATTAGTGCAATTGAGTACTTATCACCGTAGTACAGTATTTTATATACTGTATTTTATAACCTAACATGTGCTGTCTGTAACAAAATCTGCTTTTGCTATGGTATGTTTGAATGCTGGCATTCAGTCATATGCTTGAATTGTTGATGTGCATTGTTGTTGCATTCAAATATATGTGTGTGTGTGTATGTGTGTGTGTGTGTATATATGTGTGTGTGTGTGTGTGTAAAATCCTTTGTGATAAAATCTCATTGCTATGTTCCTTACTCCCATCCTTAAATTCCTAGTCTTCCCAGACTTCTGTTTTCCAAATAACACCACCATATTTGTGCTATAATGCTATACTTTGTGAGTGAGACATGAATTGTATTTATTACAGGATTTTTGAATTAAACATGACTATATATGGATTAATAATGCAGCTCTTGCTGCCTCTTGTCTGTCTATGCATTGTGCTGATAACATCTTCCTTTTTTTTTCTGTTCTCATATCAGACATCTAGTAAGTGATTGTCTCTTTCACACCTGTCTGCTCTGCTTTATGTGCCAGAAATCTTTACCGTCTCAAGTTAATTGGTGCCCAGAGGTATAAATTAGAGCCCCAATAAAAGATTGATCATGAAGACAAATGGAGGAGCAATTCCTTTTTCATCTGTAGCTACAATATAGTAAATTGACCTTCTATAACATGGTGTCCATCATAGTTTTTTTCCAGTCTGGGAAAAATGACTATCGCTGCAGTGCTGGAGAGGCTGAACCTGCTAGGTTGTCTGAAGCCAAGATATCATTTTTTTTTTTTTCTTTTCAGTCTCAACTTGTTATCATATGTATTGGGGTTATATCTCTATTTCTATAACTCCTTTTTTTTTTTTTTTTAAGCAAAGCCTATTTGCCAACTATGCTGGCAAAAGTTCACTGAGTAAACCATTTTCCGTGTTATTTTATTATTAACAGAAAACCAATTTAAATGCAAGACTCCAGCCTTTGCAGACATTGTTATCTTGATTGATGGGTCCTGGAGTATCGGCAGATTCAACTTTAGGCTTGTGCGTCTTTTCCTGGAAAATCTGGTCACTGCCTTCAATGTGGATTCTGAAAAAACAAGAATAGGTAATCTTTTTACAATGTAAGTTAGTCTGATTTGGTTTCCTCACTTTTTATATTGATATGATTCCTTCATTTCAGGCAATATTTCATCAACCAAAATAATACAGTGTCAAACTCCCTCTGAAAAGATTGATCTGAGTATTTCTGTAAAAAGGAATTCCTGAAAACTGTAATGGTCTTAACAGGATGTCTTCCTTTGTATATGTATTGGCCCAGATGGATTGATTGTTTTGAACACTCTCTTCTGAGTTTTCCTTTCAAAGAAAATGTTTTACGTGGTTAACAAAGGACAGAGCCTTTTTTAAGTTTGTTCCCCACTTATGGAAAATCTTTCCCCCAAAAGATTCATCTAATGCCCATATTATGATCTCTCTTTGTCTGCATTATACTGGGATTGGTCTTTAATAATGGGGTAAACTGACGTAAAATGAAATGATAAATATATAATTAAATTGAATGTATTTTATTTATTCACTTGTTTCCCACATTCTTCCTGAAGTTTGAAGTGGCATTCATAACATTTCCTCTTCCATTTCTCCCTTCCCCCCTTAAAAAAAATGACCCAATCTGGCTGAAAGTAACTGGCCCAAAATCACCCACAAAGGATGGACTTGAACCAAGATCGTGCCAGTGCTGGTATGACATCTTAGCCATTATACCACATTGAACTTGGTTACTGAATTAGCCTATTTTGTTTCTTCATACCACTGGCACCTAAGCTAACCAAATGGGCTGAGTTTGCAGACCATGGTAAGACCCCAAAAATATAATTATGTTAGAATCAACCAGGCTTAGCATGCTTTATGGATGCAAGCACTCAGTCCTTAGCTGACCTCTGTGTGTTTTGTGAGTGCAACCCATAGATTTTGAGGATTGGACCCTAGTTGGTCGAATGCCATCTTCTTTCTGTCAGCCTTCTCAATCATGAGGGTTCTGGATGGATTTGAGGTCTGTTCCCAGAATTCCAAGCTAGTATGACTGACTCCAAAGAACGGAGTTCCAGTTCATCCAGAAGGTGCTTACAAACACACAGAATGCAAAAGCTCCTTGCCACAGCCAAACAACCTCTCTTCATGTTCATATCATCTGTCACAAGTCATTGTACTAGTATTATAAATGTACCTTCCTTTCTTCTCAAGGCCTGGCACAGTACAGCGGTGATCCCAGGATAGAATGGCATCTGAATACCTACAACACAAAAGAGACTGTCTTAGATGCTGTGCGGAACCTCCCGTACAAGGGTGGAAATACCTTAACAGGTACAGATTTGTACATGACTGCTTTGAAATGGATTTTTTTTTTTAAGTTATAGTATTTGCCATTGACCCGGTTCATACCCTGTCAGAAATGCAAATGTATTTTGCTGTGTTTGGCTTCCTTATTATATTTCTGATTCTTTTCTCCTCTGGCCTTCAGGGTGCAATATTTATAAGCTGCACTCTGCTACAATTTAGAGAATATCTTGAATGAATGATATTCTCTATCATCAAGAGAAGAGAGGAAAGCAGGATGACACAGACCTTGTTCCGATAAGGCAAAGAGGAGAAGGGATGCCTCTGAATGATGCTTTTGGGGCAAAATGTAATCCTATGTGATTTATTGCAGTATTATCTTATTTAACTGAGAGAGAAGCACAGGACGTGTGCCTGAGTAGGATGCTGTGACTGAAGGGCCTTTTGGTCTAGGGCTGAACTCTGAGCTTAGCTTGGGGTCAACACAGCTACTCTTGAAAAAGAAAGAGACTGAAATAGGAGAGATAACAAGTAGGAGCATCTGCAAGGAGGGTGGGAAGTAAGATAGTGGTCATGACCACACAATCAAAGCCTGTCCTATGTATGTGCACCTGGATAAAGGGACGCAGCTTTGATCACACAATCATAAGTGCCATCCTGGCTTTTTGGACCCCCCCCCCCACAACTGCCGATGCCCCTGAGAACAAGTATTCTGCTGAGTGAGCAGATAACCACAAGCAACCTGCAAGGGCATACAGACACCAGCTGTTCTCTAATATTAGTCCCCAGAAGCTGTAATTGAAACAATCTGTCTTGCTTGCGATCTTAAAATTAGTTTCCCTACTCTGATTGTCATGGCCATCTTTAAATGCCCACTGTCTGGGAGCCAGATTATTTATTGTAGAAAAATAATAAGGTATGTTCAAGTAAAAGCAAGTATCTTCGTGCTTTCTTAGCTACCCTTAATTGCTTTCCCCCCCTGCTTTTGAGTTAATTGTGACTCCGCTTTTGAGTTAATTGTGACTCCTGGTGACTGCCTGGACAAGTCCTTGCAATTTTCTTGACAACATTTTTGTTAGTGGTTCGCCCTTGCTTTTGTCCTAGGGCTGAGATAGAGGGACTGACCCAATATCCTCCAGCTGGCTTCATGCCTAAGGCAGGACTACAAATCATGGTCTCTAGTTTATAGTCCAGCACCTTTAACAACTACCTTAAACTGGTTCTTACACTTAACTGTAGTCTGTTTTTAAAGCTAAGAAAAAGTCTGCTTGGGAATATTGGAAATACTTCTATCCTGCCAATGTCTTCAGTCCCCAGTTCCTCAAAACACTTTGAGGGTAATTTTCATTTTCCCCTCTTCCTCCAGTTTAAGAACACTGAGAACACGAACCAAAAATCACAGCCCTGAACTGCCACAGGTGGGATCCTGCAGAAACAGTCATCCCCACCGCTCACTTCATGCAAAAGGGAAATAAAATATTTGTATCCCCATCCCATCAGCATCTTTACTTTATACTATGTGCATTTGTCCGGTTGTATGGGGGGGGGGAAGAGCCTAAATCCCCCCAAACATTTGAGTAGTTCCAGTGGGGGAGGGAAGCTACAACAACATGAAGCCACCATTCCTCTTAAAGGACCTGAAGCCTAAAAGCCAGGCGGTACGACAAAGTAGGAGATCATGCAAATGGTAAAATAGGCTGCTCACAAGCTGCACAGAGCCTCAGTCTTTGAAAGACAAGGGGAGCTTTACCATTGCTTCACTGCAACTGACCCAGAAATAAGCCCATGTAACTTTTGAACATAACCAACAGTGTTGGCTTTATAGAGGCCCAGAGCTGATTTTGATCTGATACAGAATCTTCTTGTGGTAGTGCCTTAAGCTTGTTTGCTACTCTCCTCATCATCTACCTCTGTCTCTGGGCTTTTATTGGGTCCTCCTAAGCTTTGGGTTCCTGGAGCACTTTTTGTGTTTTTCCCATGGAAAACTGCTGCTTCATGTATCCATGACACATACCTTCTGAGATCTGTGGGTATATATCATTTTCTCAGTCTTTGCAGAGGGTAATCCCATCTTCTTTCTTGAAAGAATTAAGAGGCGTTTCTTAACTCTTAGCCATGAGGAAACAGTCAACCAACCATTATGAGATGCTGTCAATATATCTAGTAAAAGATTGGATAGTCTTGGAGCTATAGCAATATAAGTATCTTTGGTCAACCTTTTGCTTTGTCTCCTCCTTCTCCTTCTCCTTCTCCTTCTCCTTCTCCTTCTCCTTCTCCTTCTCCT